AAAGAAAAAACGAACCAGATTTTGATAATGTTTCCAGAATCAAGTAAAAAAAAACACTGATGATTGAAAAGAAATTTGTTAGAAAATGAAAACTTCACGATAAAAACAGTGGTCCGCAGTCAAATCAAGAAAAGAGAGAGTGAATCATAGTTTTGAAGAGGTTCCAGCCTTCTTGGCTATTGTTGATAGGTGCCTTTAGTGCTGCATCAACGAAAGATATTTACCAAATCACTCATTACGTTGTAATAATGGATTTGGTTGAGTGGCAGTTTGTTGAGTCCGTTTTTCAGCTTCTTGTTTAACCGTACTCTGCTGGATATTAGTCGGCAGCCCAGGATTGAGACTCATCGCATATGGCAATAAGGTTTTCGGCATATCAGCAAAATCGACCATTATTTTGATAAACATCGTATCATCTCGAACGTATGGATTTCCCTCCTGTTGGATCATGGCTAAGGGAAAAAACTTCGGTATGCCACTTGCAATATTCATTTCGGATCGTGATCGCTGGAAACTATTCGATCTGATGTCAGGGCGAAATGAATCAATGATATGTCGTTGTGCTGATGTTTGATCGTATAAACAAAATGTGATCTTGTAGTTGAAGGGAAACTTCAAGAGCGCATCGCGCTTACCACGCATAAGCACAAAAAAGAGAGACATATGTGTACGACGAGCATTTCCATCATCATTCAGATATAAACGTGCGCGCATCTTACAGCCAGTCGGAGATGAATAAAACGGAGGGGAATAGATCGAAGTTTGTCGTTCAGACTCGGCATCAACTACAAATAAATACTTTAATCAATGGCAAGTTCATAACCTATCAATTGAATGCAACACAAAGCAGATAATAAAAAATAGATTTATATGAGTATCGAAATAAAACATGAATGATTTGAATATGAATAGTGAAATAGAACGTAATAGAAACTTTACTCATTTTCTCTCTGACGGCAGTTATCTTCCATATGAATGTTCCATCATAAGAAACGAACTGTAGATCATTCACTTGTTGTTTTAATGATGCCATATCTTGATGAAGAATCTCTTGATTAGGTTTGATTCCATTGATAAAAGTGTCCTGTTCTTGAATGCTCAGTTTGAGTGCTGCCATACTACGATTTAGAACATCTGTCCCGTTCTGTAGTCTTAGAGATTCAATACTGAGACGTTGTTCATCTACATTCAATGTTTGAATTCCTCCAGCAAGAATATCAATTGTTTCATACATTTCTTGCAACTGAACACTCATATTGTTAGTACCAGCTGGAATTGTAATCGTAGTAGAATGAGGCACGATATCCATATTCATACAGGAATTTTGTTCTTGTCTATTACCTGTTAGTTTGAGTATGAAATGACGCACCAAAGTGATGATTATATTTTGATGTTGCTCAGTCATATAATGAGTCGACATTTCAACGCGTACGACCGATTTCGAACAACCAAAATCTTTGAGAGGACAAGATACGGTGAATTTATCGCATTCGCTTACTTTATGTTGATCGAGACTATTCGTCGAATCGAATCTTTTGCCACAATATTCACATACTGGATTCGGATGAGCTTGTATTAGGTGAATCTTAAAAAACCACACATCACTACAAAACTATTGTTATACAGTAGAATACTGGAAGCTTTTTTCAGAAATATCGTACTCAGCTAGTCGATTTATCATTTAACATCATTGTACTGATGCTCATCAATGCGCTGTTCATCCACAGATGAGCTTCCTAGAGGGCAGAAGATATGCGTTATGAGCTGAGATATAATGCGAAATGGATTGCTCTAATGCAACGCCAATCGCATTGAAATTCATAGATCAATATGGATATTATATAATATAAAGCTAACTGGAATCAGAAAGATGCGTCTTAGTAAATAAAATATCTGGCTACGAAGTATATACAACTATTCGGCTACATTCATTCAGTCGGACATTGATCATGTGACATTTGCTCTCAGTATTAATCAACTAAGAATTATTAATTGATCCTGTAATTTAAATCGGCAGAAAAATCGATTTTTGACTAGCAAACAACATAAGATTATTGAAGTGTCTAGGAACAAGCCAAACTTTCGATATTGTCCATTAAAAACTAGGTAGTTTTCATTTCACGCACTGGAGATAAACTATCCGTCACCTAGCTCACTATTCAAATTCGTTTGTATTTCAGTATAAATTTTATAATGCTGTCGATGTATGCCATAATTTTCAGTAGCGTATCAAGTCCTAACGACATGAATGTTAGTCAGTCACCATACCTCATAGTCTTTCAGCAACCCGTCCCAGTTACACAAGTAACAAGCAATAGCTAATGTCTGCATATCATTTGTGAAACCTCGACCAAACAACACCTAAAGTAATAGAAAACAATATTGATTAGACACAACAGATTTTTGATTGTAACCTCTCTCTTTGGAGTCGCTTCTTGACATTCTCGACATTTTATTACTTCGCTTGGAAATACAAAGATAAATTTGAATAATATAAATCAATAGGAATCTATACTTTACCCATCCGTAGATTCTGCGCATGACTTACACTATCGGTGCCCACAGAGAAGTTGAACAGGTTCCCGTAAAATTAGTGAGCATATCCGACAGTGAAATGCTAAATCGATAGTTCCTATATTCCTTGCATCAAAACCGACCATATTTCTCTCGTACTATAATATAGATCCAGATAAATAAATAAAGAACCAAAAAATACTAACAAACCGTTGAATGCAATTGAGTTTTATGATTTGATTGTATCTCTTGTCTGTTAAATACTGGCTTGAAAGCTGGAAAAATCAAAGTCAAAATCAACTATAAATCAGTTTGAAAAACGATTAGAACTTTCTCGCTAAAACTCTTCCCAAGTGAACAAAAGAAGGGCTAAATGACTCGTCTTTTTTCTAGTCATGTCGACCCGTCTAAGTCACGTGATTGATGGGCGACATTATACGAGTCGCAGGCTTATGTAGTAGACGAGTCTGGACTAGTCTAAATGAAAATATGTAAGGATGGAAGTTAGATTCGAACATGCATACAATGTTTCGCTTACCCATCGTTTAGACGATTGAGCCATATGATCAAGAGATCAACTTCTACATGGTCATAATCATTCTAAGATGCTATTTAATACAGTTTTGCTCAAAGTTTTTTAAATTTTTGTGTGAATAAGAAATTATCTTCTAGAGAATACGAGATTATTTAGACAATATTAAATAAAATAAATTTTAAAAATTTTATATTTTTTGGAGGAATATCTTTTGACTACTATCAACTAGGAGTAATTAGCTGCATTAAAAAAATCAATTCTCTATGTAAAAATAAAAAAAAAACAAAAAACTATTTATATTGAAAATAAACCAGATTTTTTTCATATTATGGTTTAGTTCAGTTTTAAATTTAAATCACCGTATGTCCAACTAACAATTAAATTAGCTTTGCTTAATTTAAGTTTATTCTTAAATTCAAAATAAAATAACATAAAGTTATGATATAAAAAGATTTAAATTATTTTTAATTTTTCAAAAATTTAGTACATCTAATAGTTTTAAAATATATAAACTAGCCTTCCTCGCTATGAGATAAATACTGTTCTTAGTACTTACTCTTACTTTTATGTTCGATATACTCTTAGATTTTCAACATATGAAAATACAAATATAATAAGATATATCAAGACAGAAATGAACAAAGTATACTGTCTATCCTGGACTCCACTATTGATTATGGCAGACTCTCTGATTGTCATTCTAGCTAGAAAAAAAAATTAACGACACCAATGACAATCGACATCATTTTAATATAAAATAAATGCATGTCATTAATTTTCGTAATTGTAATGTAACAGACCATGCTTAATCATCCATCTACGAAGGTTTCAGTACAAGACAGGCAATAAAATGATTGTTATTCTACTATCTAGTCCATATCCTAAAGGCATCTGATTATCCATTGATTATTTCCAATAAAAGATACAGATATTCATAAATTTTTCTACTTACATTCTACTTCTTTTACCTTCCAGTATCCATCAGTTTAAACGAATTAGTAGGACAATTTAGTCCAACGAAAGTGGGTTGTTTAGAACTTTTCAGACTAGTCTGGGTGTGATGAGAAGATTTACACCTATACCTACACCCACACCCTCACCGTGATGAGCACAGCTGATTATAAGAATTGATGATGCAACGATGAACAGAATAGGCAATTACAGATACATAACTAACGTTTGTGATTACAGTTGTCGCTTCAAAAAGTAGAATTTTTCGAAATTTGACAATGATGCAAATGTTTATATAGCCGTCATATTTCCGTTTTTGTTTTCGATGACATCACTTCCTTTCTATTATATTTGACTTCCTATGAAGTGATGACACGCCATTATTAACACTTCATAGTATGAAGTACTTCTGACGGGTATGAGGTAATTCAGTATTTGAGTCTGCACAAATTTAAGACGTTATATCGAAATTAGTTAACTTTCGCTGAAAAAATTTCATATCAAAGATGAATCTTTTCAAATGTCTAGTGAAAATAAGTTTTCGCGGATCCTTTATCATCTAATAAATGTCTGACTGCTAACTATGTGTCATTCGTTTATCTCTTCCTTTTTCTTCTCCTCGTCTTCTTCCTGTCTCGGAATTC